GTGCCCCATGCAGAAAAATCCCTTGTTGGGGACAAGAAATTCTGAAGCTTGAGGCCATTCCTTGTAGGAAAAAAAAAAAAAAAAAAAAAAAGAAAAGAAAAAAAAATCAAACATTCTAAAGTGGCAGTAATAGGTCCCTAGCTGCTGTTATCTCCTTTTGTATATGAAAGATCATCCCTCTGCTGTGCTGCAGCCTTTGATACCAGCCATACCAGCCCCAAATTGCAAGTCCTGTTTGCATCAATGCTGGGCCCAAGTGAATATTTCTCCCCCTGAACCTTTTTTTTTTTTTTTTAAGAAAATAATGTCCATTTTAGTGGGAGCAAGTGAGCAGCTGCTGGTGGTACTGCTTCATGTGTGAAAAATCCTCTCTTCTCCCCAGTTCAAAACGCTGTTCATAATAGTAAGGAAAATGATGTGTTATCCAGGAGGGGGTGAGGAGAGGACAGGGACAAGAGGAAATATAATCCATGCTGCTGGAGTGATTAATGTGACTCTTTATGGTAAGGGAAATGAAAACTAGAAATCTGGGTAAGTAATGATCTTTCCAGGAGAATGGCTTTCACTGGAACCACTATACAAACTCATATGCTGAGCTCCTTTAAGTTATTGCTGAAGTTTTCACAGCAGAGCAGGGGTGGCACTGAAAATTTTGCTCCCTTGTTGATTCCCATAAGCTCAGAATTTCCAGCAATAGCAGGAAAGGGGTTCAATGTGAGATGCATACGTGCCATCACCTCTCTTTAAAATGTGAGATGCTTCAGTGATAGGCTTGAGGCAAAGGGCTTAAGAGGCACATTTAGCACTGTCCATTAAGCCTGGTGAGCTGGAGAAAGGCTTCCCCTGCGTACATCATCCTGCACGTTGATATGCAGGCTGAGTGTGTGCAGTGGGAGGGACAAGACTAACAGTATATTTGATGAAGGTAAGAGCCTAATATTGCAGCTTTGGAAAGATCAGTTACCATCTGCCAACCATCTATCTTTGGCTATGGTACTTACCTGGCCTCAGTTATTACAGTATGTAACCGCTTCACAACCACTGATATATTTATCTTTTCATCCTCCCTGTTGAGTTGGGAAGTGCTATTACCTCTGTTGCAGAACTAAGAACTGAGATTAAGGGTCAGATTTGTTATGGCATTTAGGTGCTCAATGGGATTTTCAAAAGTACTCAACACTCGTTGTAATAAGTGGAACCCCTGAGTACTTTGATAGTTCTGAGAATCCTGTTACTTGTGCCATTTCTTTTTAAATTTAGGGCTTACATGGCACCCTGTGATCTGTAGAAAACATTTCCACGTTGTGAGACCATAGGTGGGACAGGAAGAACTTCATGGCAGTGGTAGACAGAAGCTTCTCTTGTCCTGAATTCAGCATGCTGTAACTCTGTGGCTAGCAGTGGATTTACCCCCTTGAACAGCTCTGTGAGAAAGATCAGAATCTGGTCTTGGAAATACTGAAGCAAAAATAAGCAGCACCCATGGTCAATAAGAAGGGCTTATGTGCCAATTGCTGGGATGGAAAATTCAAGAGCAGGAGCAAATAATGAAACAATCTATATTCATGCAGCCACCTTTCCAGCCTACTGCTGTAAGTACAGGCTTACACCTAAGCAGGAGATGTGAATCCTACTGAAAGCTCCAGAGTATCACACTGGAAAACAAATTTTGCTTTTCAACAAATTATCTGTTCATCGCTAAATCATTTTCTTTCATTATTAGTCTCCAAATTGGTTCTGCTCTGGAAGACAGAATTAGGTTTAAAATCTGAGTGTCTCTTAAACACTTGCTCCAAATGAAGGTATTCGGTAAACATTACTCAAACCCCCTGGAGCATAAAGTCCTCAACTGCTTTCTCAGGCTTTGCATAGATTTTTCAGTTCCTGGTTTAAAGACAGGTGTCTCAGGGATTAATTCAGGATATCAGAAAGTAATCAGTTTAAATCCCTTACAATCATATGCCCCTCAAATGCAAAGGAAAATTTTATTAAGTCCTTTCTGTCCTCCTTTGCAGTAGCATAAACTGGGACAAAAGTCCCATATGTAAGAGAGAGAAGAGTCAGACTCCAAACCAACGGCACAAGTACTAGACCATGTGGGCTGCAAGCCGAAATTTCTCAGTACTGGAAGAGCTGCACTTTGCTGTTATAGTATTTGCACTCATTTCCATAGTTTTAAGGTTCTAAAGCCTTTGGGCTTCAAAATTATATTTTTAACATTAAAGGACTGAGTTTTGGTTAATTCAGCATGTTGGTAAGATTGCAGCTGTCTGAGCTAGTGATTTAGGGTGACAGAGAGGGGGTCAGCTCAGCTGACTTTGGTGCTGCAGGGTAGGTTACGGAGCAGCACCCCAGCATTGTGTACTTGTCCTGCATGACATCATGGACTGTTGGGGGTGCTTGAGAGGGTCATTTGTGCCTCCATGATGTAAAAAGTTCTGGAGGGGTTAGGATGTGTCTAAAATTGCATGGGTTTTCATCATTGTTCGTGAGACGTTGTTATTCTGCCTGTAGGTTTGCAATGAGTGGAGGTTGGAGAGCAACTCACTCTCTTCTTTAGGTATGAAAAGAGAATAATACTTTGGAATAATGTTTTCTCCCAGGTACTTGGTAGCTTGTTCAAAGCATGAATTTAACTTGCTTTGATGTTAAGGGGACTTGTGTGAACAGGAAATAGGCAAGAAGGTCTTATCTAGGGTCTCCCTCCACCATGGGAAGACATTGACCAATTTTCCAGCCCTCTGCACTCTCCAGTACAGCAGTAGAGTGGGACTGGGAAGCTGCTCCTACACAGACCAGGAATTGAGACCTGCTGCTGCACATGAGTGCATTTGCACTGTGGTGTCTGAACATTCTTGGATTTACAATATTTATTTCTCAGTGGGCAGAAGAGCTACAAGATTAGCAGATGAACAAATATATTGAGACAGCCAAGATATCAAAGAAATTGGAGTCACTAAGATGTCAGAGAGCTGAAGAGTCACCTGGCCATGGCTCCTCAGAATTATTTTATCCTCAGAGTAGCTCAGCTGCCTTGGGGTTTGGACACATCCTCTGGTGAATTAAACAGCAGTGACTTCAGATGTTACTGGCCTCAGCTGCCTGCTTCTCCTCTGGAGGACCCAGCCTCTGGAGCAGAAGCTGCAGGACCTGCATCCCAGCCACTGCAGCTCAGCTCCTGGGCATTTAGTGCAAGTAAACCATCCTTTATTTTTCAGGGTAGACACCAGCTTGTGAGCTGCACCAACAAGCATGAGAATATACTGTGTTCCTGGGCAGAAATCTCCAGGGAAGATATGGGGCAGACAGCGTGTTAAGGCACCATAATGAAAGCTACCAGAGTGCATGTGCCAAAGCCCTGTGGCTGTGCACTGTGACTGTTTTTACCATAAAGAAATTCTAAGAGATATTGGAAAGGCCGCTACTGCAATTGGAAGGTCAGAGGGAATCATAGCCCAGGGAGCACCATTTAATGTCAATCATTCTTTGCAAGCTTTTTCTACTCCATGCAATCTGCAATTCAATCAGGAAAAAAAAAAAAAAAGTGAGTCACAGCAGTCTTCACCTTAGGTTTCTCATACAGGAACTAGCCTGTGTTTCCAGTAGAGGGATCAGAAGAAGGTTTATGTAAGATGCTGCTTCCCTGCAGAGTGCAAACCAAAAGGAGCTCAGAGAGATTGTTCGGAGGCTGCTCACCATGAGATCATGCTCACTCCTTGGGCTGCCCATGCCTCAGTTCTTCCCTGAAATTTAGGTTTAGCTGAGTCAGCCAGGAAATTATGGATGAGTTTGGGGTCTTGAGGGAAAGATGTTCAAAAAGCAGCAGTATGAAGACACCAAAAAGAGAGAAATCCTTAGCTTGAGAAGTGCCAGACTCAGGGAAATGTGCCTTTGTTTATTGAACTGTTGCCTGCAATAAGAACAGCATTTCCTCATCCTCCCATGTTGTCTCAAAACCAGCAGGAGTCCATTTAAGAATACAGTTACTTGCACAAATTATTGTACATGAAGAGTAGAGAAACAGCTGAAGAGCCTCTGCAGTAAGACAAGCAAATCTCAAAAGCTGCCCGAGCAGGGCTGTCTGCTGCCCTGGGCTTCAACTTCCTCAGTGCCTGCCCAAGCACCCAAAGCAGGAGCTTCTCTTCCAGTTTGCCTGCCTGCTTCACCTGGGGAGATAATTGTCTAGATTTTGTGATGGTACAATAAATAAATGGTGATAAAATCAACTAAGAGGATATTCCCAAAGAGTGAGAATTGGTTTTTATTATCATCATTTTCAATATAGGAAGTAATAAGAGACTGTATTATAAAGAAGAGAAGATACAAGTATAATAAAAGACCTATGAATGGGTAATCAGCAAGGAGGGCTGAACCTTGTGCTTCTACATCTTGGAGCATTAACCCCAATTGCCTGAACTGAAAGGTCTGGCTGCGTTAGACAGGGCTGTAACAAGGTTCTCAGACACCTCTGTGGTGTATCCACAGTTAGGAGGGGTCAAAGCACTGCACAGAGGGGACATGGCTGTGAACAGTAGTACTGGAGCCCAGGAATTTTGGGGTCTTCATCAATTTCCTTATGTCTTTAAATCTTTCCAAATCTCACATTAAAGGAAGTCAGGAGAACTAATTTGTTCCTGCTTTAACAGTGGTTTGAGGAAGAAAAGTGCTTGCACTCTGTGTAGTTATGCTGCTTTGCTAATACCTCCCATTAGCACTGATTAGTTAAAATCTGACCTTGCAGATGAACAAGCTGATCATTGGGGAGCTTCATTGCACCCAGCATAGCAAAGTTGATAGGAATTGTCAGCAGACTGGATTTGTGATTTGTTTTGCCACACTCTGCATGAATTCTTTCCACTGACTAAGCCAGGTGCGGATCTGAAGGTCAGGATTTCCTAAGGTGCCACGTGCAATGGGCAGTCAGGCTGTGTGAGAAGACAGCCTGAGATTGAGCATGGACACTCAAGCCACCATGATCTGTAACTGCTTTTCCGTTTCAGGCTGGAGTCACCTACACGTGCACTGGTGATGGAGGCTCCAAAAGGCATCGAGATCAATGCTGAGGCTGGCAGCTTGAAAGCCACGTGCAGGACAGAGCTCAGGCTGGAATCCAAAGATGGAGAGGTAAGTGAAGGACATCAAGCCCTACAGTAGAAACAAACCAAGCCACAAACCTCCTGCAGATCTGTAGCCTTCTGATTCACTGAGCTATTGCATTTGAAACACTGGTGTGAAAGTGGGGCAGCTCACTCTCCTAGCTGTTTCTGCTAGCAGTGATTGCAGGTATCACATGCAAATGAGACTCGCTCTGTGGCAAAGGCTGATTCATTATTTTTAAAGTGGTTGGATAATAGTATCTGTTCAAGCAGATTTATGTAGCTGTAAAATACACAGTGCTCCTAAATTCTGTTTCCTTGTGAGTTTAAAACAAGATTTATTTGGCCAATGTAATTAAATCTTTTATTATACATTTTCCTACAAGATGAGCTTAATTCACCGGTATGAATTGGAAATGCTTTTGTAGCTGACGTTTATATTTGGGGAAGCAAGGGAATGTTAGGAGACAGAGGTTGTTGCACTGGGGAAACTTAAAAAGAGGAAGCAAGAATAACTAAAATTGATAACACAGAGCAAAAGTAGAATAGGTGTTGAGTTAAGCCTCTTCCGGTGTCTCAGAAATAAATGGGCACCTATCACAATGGTGGTAGACACTGGAGGATGTGGCTGAGGAGCTCCTGCTGGGGACCCCACCAAAAGCCTTGGCAGGAGGAGCTTCCCACTGAATGCCAACCTCCCAGCAATAGGACTTGTACATATGCCAGTGTTTTCCTATCTTAGTGTCAGATGTAATACATAGAATGGGATTTTTATTGCAATTCCTATTATTTCTAAACATTTTCCTTTTAAGACATTCCAAGCACGGCCCACAAATGTTAACAAAAAAACCCCACAGCAATAAAAACAAAAACCCTACCTTATATACTATAATTGAAATCCAAGGCATTTCATGACTGCAAGCAGTTGCCTTAATGTTTTAACACTAACTTTACTTTAAAATGCACATATTGTCTCTTTGAGGAGATTAGATGGTTGGATACTTAAACTGGAGACTCTTACTGTAATTGCAAGATAAGAACAAATATGTCAGTCACCCTGTAATATTGTGGCATGCAGGTTACCTTGCTGTGCTTTTCTCAGTGCTGTTAGAGCACTCCCCTGTAGCTGCCTTGTGTCTAAGAGCTGCCGTATGTTCACTTTTATGTTCTGTTTTATAAGGAGAAATTCAGGTCTGTTATGGCATTTAAGTTATTACATAAAAGCATTACACGTATACATAAAATATAGATAAAAGTCAGTGCTGTGAGCCTGCAAGTTTAACTGGCAGTGGGATCAGAGCACCAGAAGTCCCAGTGGAGGAGCAAAGTCATTGGGTGGGTGTGAACTGTTCCCACTCCCCGCTTGGCAGTGGGTACCTTGGGCTGGGCCAACCCAAACATGAGAAGCAGGAAGCTACGAGCCAAGGAACCACAGTGGGTAGGTCAGCAGAAACAAACTGGTGGCTCCAGGTAAAAGCAGATCATCTCCTTACCCCGATTTGTGTCAGACTTTCCCATGTTAATGCACATGCCTACTCAGTTTTTGTAGCAGCCCAGTTGTCCAAAGGAAGCTTCTTTAACAACAAGATAAAAAATAACTCTCCACTAATTCTCTCTCTTTTTTTCTCTCTCTCTCCCCTGCTCTGACTTCAGATAATGTTGAATTCTGCAAAAATCAAACTACCTAACTTGCCTCAAGGATCTTCCTCTTCTGCAGGGTCCAGGCAAAAAATCTACGAGCTCTGTGTGTGTCCCAATGGGAGGTTATTTCTGTCTCAGGCAGGCACCAGCTCCACCTGCCAGATAAATACAAGCGTCTGCCTTTGAGAAACAATTTGCAGTGGGGCATCAGGCAGCACAAGCCAGTTCTGGTCTCTCAGATTGCAGCTGCCAACTATTTTTACTAGAACACAGAAAGCCTATCAAAGACTTTTTTTGTGTGTGCGCGCGTGTGTGTGAATATATATATAAAAATATATATATAATATATATATATCCTCTGTGTAAAATGATGTTTCAGTACAAGGAATCCCAGGGTGACCCTGTTACATTTGTGTAGCATTTCTCTTTCCCACACCAAAATTTACTGGTACAATCTGCTGAATTGGATTTGTTGCTCCCCTGGCCCCTTCCACATCAATACAGTCTAATGATCACTGCTTGGTTTTGATCGTGATCTCAGAGCAATGGGATTGTTGGCTGGTCAAGACCCTGGAACTGATGTAGACCCACCAATATACAAAGAGGAGAGAAGCATCTCTGATTATTTTTGCACCATTAAATCAGTGACTTGAAAAAAATAAACAAAACACAACAAAATAGCCAGATGTTCTGTACTCATCACCTGAGTGATCCAGGATACCCAAGGTTACATTTTCTTCTAAGTTTCTCTTTAATTTTCATCTGAAGCCCTTCACCTGAAGCATGGCTACCTGTTGGGAGCCATGGGCTGCTCTTGAGCAGTAGAAAAGTCCAGATCTTCTTGCTGGAATAATCCCTTATTTGTCTGCAGGGCTTTGCGACTTGCCTGTGCTTGGCCAAGGATGTCTTGTGCTCTTGAGATGTGACACATCGGCTCCAACCTTAACCTAAATTCATCTCTGTGCTAAAAAAAATTGGTGTTGCATTTAGCTCTGGAAAGGAAGTAAATTGTGAAAGCTGGACTAAGGAAGAAAATCCTGAATCTCCTTAGTTAAGAGGTGTCCTGGATCACACTACACCTTCACCTTTAACACCTTTAATTTTTTAAAGATTTTGATACAAACTGTGAAAATTGAAGATTTGGCCCATACTACCCATACGTAGGTAGTCACTACCTGTAGACACAGAAAATTACCTATTTTACACACAGAAACAGAGACATACATACAAATTAGGTGTGTAATGTAGATGCTATGCCAGAATTTTTGTCACCTTTCTTTTCAGGATATACAGTCTCAGGTCACTCAGATTTGGTGGAAACTGCAAATATCAGAGATGCTGACAATGAAACAGACTTTTTTTAAAGGATTTATAAAGATTGTGACAAAGCCAGATTACTGGAAAGCAAGGGCTTTGGTTGTTAGTTCCTCTAGAATTTAAACTCCAAAAACTCAGTGGTTGAATCTCTTCATGGGTACATTTTCCTTTATATAAGTCCAGGAGTCACAGGCAGGATAAAATGTGAAATCTGATCTGGTAACATTACTTCCACAGTTCAGGTTTTGAAAAATAATAAGAGAAGCCCAGATAATTGAATTCTGACCCATAATAGATCCACATGCATGTAAAAATCCTTGATTTTTAGATACTTTTGCAGTAATCAGTACTGATTACTGCTTACTGCAGAAATGTCCAAGTCACAGTAAATCTCATGAGGACAACAAGGTTTCTAAGCCACTGAGATGCTTTTGCAAATATTAACCTTATGTGCAAATATGAGAGATCTGTGCCCAGCCCTAGTGATATCTAAGCAAAGTTGGTATTCTTCAAGCAATCTTCAAGAAAAAATGTAGCTGACAGAAATACTCAGAAATACTTTAGCCCATTCCTTTTCTACAGATTTCCATGTATTTTTTTGTGGTCTGGAGTGTACCAGGGCTTTTTTTTTCAATGGACAATTCTGGCTTAATCCAAAATTGACTGGATTCAAAGGAAAGATATCTATGCAGTTTAGATTAGATGTCTTGCTGCCTAATAAGGCAGGACTCCCACAAAATTTATTCCTGAAAGAGGATTGAATGATCTACATTTATTCCAGTAATATTTTCTGATTAATTAATGAATTCAAACTATCTGTTAATGAATGATTCCTGTAATTATTATGTCTTGAGTCAATGTTTGAATGCAAAGGGTCACCCAGGGTAACAATTGTATTGGGACACAGGACTATACCATCTCTGTTCAAAGAGGGGAATTGTGCCTATGCCTTAAGTCAATGCACTCAGCAAGGAGAAGCACATCATATTTATCTTGTTATTAAAACCTGTTTATTTGGGGGGAGGGACAGGAGGGTGTCTTGGGAACTGGTTGTGCAACTTAAAACAGGTCTTAATGAAATGTATTAAGACTGTAGGGACACCTAGAGTGATACAGACTTTTATTTTAACCATGTTAAATATAGCAAAATACTGTGTACGTTACCTCTGGGACCACAACTGAAGTCCCATTCATAGCCCTACATTTATTGTAGAGTTTTCTTCCCTGTTCCATTGAATACTGATCACAAACCTTACAGCAAGCAGGGCCCAATTCATAAACAAATCCCCTGGGAGCAGTTGTGAAGACACATGCTACAGGAAGACTACCCTGTGCAGAAAAGAAGTCACATGAACTTACCTGTTCTCCAGAGTGTTAATGCTGGTGAGAAAGGCAGGGCTGGATGCAGGGGCTGACCCAACAGGGATGTGCTGAGTCCTCTTTGCCAAGCTCCACTCCCGAGAGGCCGATGGCTCAGTCCTCATCTCCATGCACCTTCAGGCTTCTCTGCTGAGAATTTCCATCCCAATAGGTTAATTTGAAGTGGCTGATCTTCTCAGCTGGGGTCTTGGATGAGATTGTCACCTTCCCAGGAAGGCTGAGAAACTGCTTAAGGACATTCAGCCATTTATTTTTGTATGAATTTCTGTGGGGAAGCTGTTAGGGAATGACCTTGCACATCTGTGCCATCACTGCAGATGCTTCTCCAAGGTGAAAAGGGTACATCAATTATGTCTACATAAAGGAATTCTAGTTGCTTCAATGTATCTTACGATCATGTTTCTATCTTAAAAGGCATAAAATGATTTGCTGTGTTGAAAGACAAGGTATTGTTGCTGGAAGGATTGACCCTGGGTAGAGACTTGTAAAACATTTGAGCCACAGTTTAGATGATGATGCTGCCCATGCTTGTGTTGGCCACAGGATGAGTCCCCCACTGTGCAGTGAATGGCAAACCAGAGCAGACAGGACTGCATGTCTGAGATGCTGGAGGAAAAACCAGACATTTTGTTGAAAAAGCAGCATGCAAACCCATCCAGGTATCTCATGTTTCAGAGGTTGTTGTGGGGCTGCTGTGGAGTGACAGACTCACCTGTTGGACAACGCAAATGCATGGGAGTCCCTTTTCCTCCTGCCTTGCCCAGAAGTCCCTCACAGTTGATGTACCTGTATGGCTTAGCTTTCCCTCAGTCTATTTAAATTAGAGCATCTCTGGCTGGAATTTCATCCCTATGCTCTACCTGCCATTGGTAACATTCCAAAAATCAAGCAAGGCTTTGTGTGTTGCTTTGTGAATCGGGCCTGCAGTTCAGTTCAATTAATTTGTGCATTTGTTTCCACTGAGCTCAGTGGAAGAGATGCTGATGACTTTGTGGACTGAGCTGGGCCAGGAGCTGGACAGGTGACAATTCAGGCCACTGAGGACCTGACACTGCCAGCCCTTGGGGAGACCAAACTCTGGCTGGGCACTGTGTGCAGGTCTGTGTTGCAGCCAGAGCAGCAACAGCATCTGAAATACTGATGAAGGGACTGGGAAGCTAATGTCAGTATACCTAAGGCAACCATGAATGCTACAGTTAAAGATAAATGTGTTTATGTATTGTAACTCTTTACAGGGCTTTGAGACCTTGTTAAATTTGCTTTAAACATAACACTTCAATCCAGAAGCTGACTGGCAGTGCTCCCCCCTGTACCTTAGCCACAGTGTATGGCCCTTCTGCTGGCACAGGTATGTTAGAATGGCTTTTCTAAAGGAAAAAAGTACTTTGGCATTAGCAAAAGCAGAGATCCAAATACTGATTATACAACTGTATCCATTCTCCATGTTTCTTTGTGGTTTGTTTGTTTGCTTAAACTTTTTTAAGCATATTACCCTGTAGTCAGCAAAATGGGTAGCTTAAGAGTACAAAGAAATGCTAATACTAAAGGAAGTCATCAAAAGGGGAAAATAACTACTAAAATACGTATGAGGCCTCTCCTCAGTAGAAACTCTTTAAAAAACTAAGTATACACAAGAATGATTTATATTTGGTTCTCTCAGTCATGTGCTGTCAAACAGCTATATTTTGAAAGGGTCTGTTGGTTTTTGGTTGTTTTTTTTCCTGTAATCAGAAATATCACATATATGCACAAACAAAAAGGTTTCAGACATAAACCTAGAAGTACCATCTGCAATATACAGTACAGCAAAATGATGTCTAAAAGAAAAAGTCCCTAGAAATTTCTCCAACCTTAAAGAGAGATTCCTGAGGAACTTGAGAAGACATCAGGTTAGTTCACATCATACCTAGTCTGCAAATACAGATGTTCTAAAGAAAATTAGCTTTTGTTGTTGTAAGATGCACACACACAAATACATATATCTAAACTTACATACACTTGTTTCCGACAAAAGCCAATTTTCTTTTTATTGTTGTTATGGCTTTAATTTTCATATGGCAAAAGACAGCAAGACAAAGACCAAAGACTTAAATAAATTTATCCCTTCTCTGGTTACCCTTATGCCTGAAATGCATTAACTTCAATGGTGCTTTTTTGAATGGGGCAGGAAAAATACAGGTACATTACAAAGATGCATTTGAGAGAGTAAAGTGACAGGAAAACTCTAGCTTAGTTAATGGGAAGAAAAGGAAATAATGTGAAAAATCTTTAAATGTCAGCAGAGGGCAAGGTTACCTGAAATTTGAAATGTGAAGAAATAACCCAGAACAGTGAAAGACATCATCTTGGGCTGAAAGTATAAATAAACTGAGTAAATGCTGCTGGCTGTTCACTTACCTGCACTTGAGCATTAGCAGCCACACAACTCCAGTAACTGCTCAGTGAAGATCAACTGTGCCACAATGATTTTGGGTTTTTTTTAAACAAAAAGAGTTTTTGCTTTTTTTCCTTTTATTTTTTAAGGCTGACATTTTAAATTTTGAAATGTCATCATCCAGAATTCACCCCAGCAAGTGCAGGGCACGTTCCTGCAAAGCCTTGCCAAGCACCGGATTGGTGCTTTTTGAATGTGAAAATACCAGC